TCTTCCAGTGACTTTTTTATAAGCATGATTAACAGAAGCAATAAGTTGTTACCCAGATAGACAGCTTTTTGACTAATTCAGACCCTCTTTTATGCACTCAGCGGCCTCTAGGATACTTGAGCAACACAATTCAGCACAGCAAGAGGGAAGGTGTGCTGGCACATGGGATCACAGCTCCTCACCTCTTTGAGCAGCTCATATGTGGCACTTGCCACCATCAAAAAAAGAGAAGAAAAATAAGACATTGACAATAGACGTCTGCAGTCCCACACTTTGAGGTTTACTTCCCTTAATTTCATGTTAGAAATTAAAGTAGAATCTCACAAAACCTGGATATTTCCAAAACCCAACATTTAGGTAACCAAACTGCCCTCTCATCTTTGCTGCAATCTACTCACATTCAGGGATCTCACTCTATTTTAATCTGAAGGTGTTTTAAGCATATTTAGGTGCTTCAGGTTGTACAAAGTGAAGAACAGAAGAAAATGAGGCGGCTTCTGTTTGTTGGATTATATGCTGGGTAATTCCAGTAAAGCAAAAACCAGAGCAGGCTGTGAGCTTCACCATACCTGCATTACGAAAAAGCTCAAAATTGAAGGGGGTGGAAGGGAGGAGCAAAAAGCACTTTTAGCATAAGTTAATTAGGCTGAGAATTCACAGCCTTTAGAGCATTGCCAACAAACTCAGTCATGCTTTGGTACTTGGTAAAACAGACAGGAAACTATTACAGCTATTTGCATCTCTTCTATAACAGGGGAAAAAAAATCCACGTATTGCTAAGTGACAGGCTGAGTCAAACACTTCCCCTTTAATGAAAACTTTATTAGATCCCAGCATGGTTACAATTTTGGAAATTGCTTTTAGTGAGTTTAACGGGTTTTGGAGCTAGGATTTAATGTCATTGTCTTTTAAATTTGATCTTATTTGAATTACATTTGATTTGATTGTGCTGTAGTGTTTACTTGCGTATGAGTATTTTGCTACTTATTCACCCCTTTGCAAGCAAGGCACACACCTCCCCCAGACCCAGCACAATGGGTGTTCATAAACAACAGGGTGTCCTGCAAAGCTGCAGCATTTGGGGTTTTTTTCCCCTCCAGAGACAGATGCTACCTGGCCTTTGCAGCTACTGCTAAAGAGGACTGCCCTTCCCACACACCCATTTTATTTCTCAGCAGCTCCCAGTACCATGTCAGCTGAGGGAAAGCCTTGTCCTGCCTCACTTACCTCCCACACGGCTTCCACATCTCCTCCCCAGTGAGCCCTCCATTGCTGGCATCGCACAGGCTCTGCCCTTGGGTTTGCTCCCCTGTCCCGCTTTAACTCTTTCACACAACAGCCAGCAATGCAAAATTAAGTAACCGTCAATTGCTGCCACCTTTCTGCAACGAAAAACCAACAACCAACCAAACAACTTTGGCTACAGCTGGCAACAAGCAAAAGATGAATAAATTGGTCTGTTACATGCATCAGTCCTTGCAATGTTATTCGGACACAGAATAAGGCTGTAACCCCTGTGAAACGCAGCGTGGTGGGTGCAGAGAAGGCAAGCAAGGGATCTGCTGCTTCTGCACAGTTCACACAAAATCTACATTAATCACTTTTTACCTTCCTGATCTTTATCAGCAAATAGTTTAGTATTTACTGTGTTTAATTTGCTTAATTAGCTCTGTAAAAAAATTGTCAACTTAGTTAGCAAAATCAAAACAGAGTCAAAAAATGTCAGGGAGGGGCACGGGGAGTCAAGCCTTGCTGGCCTTAGAAGTCTTCCTGTCTTCCACATGCCAGAGGCAGCAAGGCAGTAGTTTCTTAAGAGAGCCTGGAGAAACCAGTATCCAAACCAGGAATCCAGATTTCCAAAAAGCTCTTAACCCAGATTTCCTAGCATGACACCAGAGCAGTTGCACATTTTCTACAGTTTACGTGGCCAAGCATGTTGGTGACACCAGTAATTTAGGACATGAATGAGTGAGCTGTTGTGTTTGCTCTGATGGGTCAGGGAAATATCAGGGATGGCATGGGCCGACAGCCAAGAGACCTTTCTGCTGTGTTTGAAAAACCCCTTTGAAGTTGGTGGATTTTCCTGTTGCATCTCACTGTGCTACGTTCACCTCTGCTGCATAAACTGAGTCTGCAACTTGAAACTGAGAAAGTCTCTGGCTTTCAGGATATTTATTAGTAACAGGAAAAAGAGCCTCATTTTCTGAGCTTCTGAGGAAATGCACAGAACTGCTTCACTCATTCTTGTCTCCTCTTTGATCTCAATTGGTAGGTCTCTAACAAAATTAGCAATTAACAAAATGCAGTTTTATCTGGCTTGGCTTAGCTGAGCCCTGGGCACGAGAAGCATTGCAGAGAGCTAGACACTATCATTTTATCCCCTACGCACTCTGTCTAAGTATATTGTTTCAAAATGTTACCAGCAAATAGATTTTTCCCCTCTCCACACATAACATCTGATGAGCAGGAGAACAATATGATCTATGAATAAACCTGGAGTGTTTCTTCTGGGGAAAAAAATCATGCAGGGCTTCAAATGAGAGTGTGGGGTGTAGGAAGGCAGTGGCAGGTTTAAAACCCCTCGTGCAGCAGGATCAGCATGACTCTCCTCCTTGTCTTGCTGAGTTGCAGGGGGCTGTCTGGAGCTGAAAAATTTCACATGGTCTCCACCAGGCTGTGAAGCCCACTCCAGCCAGGCTTCAGCTGGGTTGGCTCTGTCCAAGCCATGCTGTTACCCTGTCACTGTTACTGCATTACAGACATCAGTGACACAGGTGGACGACACTTCACTGGGAGAAAGGGAAAGGAGAAGGCAGCATGTGTCTTGAAGATATCCTGACGGGATTACCTTCTTTTCCAGTGAAACACAACTTCTGTTCAGCAGCATCCACCGGCAGCTGATGTTTCCATCACTGGCAAAGATGGGTTTGAATCCTGTGCCGCAGAACTGCTCTTTGGTTTTGGGATGTAAAGCCAGTCTTCACCCATCTGGTGCCACAAAAGAGAGACAGCAAGGGCAGAGCATCCTGGCTGAGAGCCCGACCCAAAGCTGTATCTAACTTGGGCTCTCAGTTTTTATTGCACAGGGAAACAAAATGGTCAGTGGCTCCCAGGGGCACAGACCAGGCATCCAAAGAGCCGAGAAGACAAACAGCTTCCAGGTCCTGGCTGTAAACCAGGGCATTACATTCTCTCCCTTCCCAGAAACAACTCTTGAGGTGGCCTTGTTCACGCTCCAGTGTTCTCTCCTTCAGTTTCCTGTAATTTTGCTCAGCCACAATATTATAGGGTTTATAACTTTTTCCACTCAGGCACAGTGAAGATATAGTTGCAAACTGCCCTTAAAATTTGGGTTTAATATTCATGGTTTCATTGTAAACAAAACCAAACAAAGCCACATAGCTGCTATTGCTAAATATATTGGAACCTCTACACTACCAATCAGCCTGGCTGGTGGTACACCTCGAGGGCTCTGTCTGTTCTTGCTGTTGGCCTGAATCTGCAAGCAAAAGAACTGAGGCCACATAAATGTTCTGATTGGCTGGAAAAATTTGGATACAGCCTCTGTTGGGATGTATAAATAGAAAGCAAAGTATTTGAGACCTTTCACTTTGAAAGCAGAGCTCTGAAGGCACATGAAAATGGACAGTCAGAGCAGTCGTCCTCGCGATTGCGATCTCCAGTGGTGAGTCAACTGAATCTTGGTATACATCGTTCATTGTAACCTGCCTTCTTTTCCCCTCTCTTTTGTTTTCTTTAAAAAAAAAAAGTTTCTCTGTAAGGATTTAGGAACTCATTTGTTCTCTGCCATTTTGCGCCTTTGAAAATAACCCCTCTCACATAAAAACCTCCATGGAAAAATCCTTTTTAGATATGGTAAAAAGTTGTGGCAAAATTTTGTTGGAGTAATAACGTTGATTGAATAAGAAAGAATCTGCTGAGGCATATCAATTACTAGCAGCATGCATTTTTTCTTAAAAGCCTTTCACTTAAACATCAGCCTGCTGAGCATAGAGCGTTCCCAGAGATGTTTCTGTCTTTCATGTCATCACCTTTGATTTCACAAAGAATACACAATTCATTAAAATAAATGAAGACTACCTAGAACAAAGGGCTGTTTTGCTTGAGGAAGGCATTAGAAATTTCCTGCACCCTTTTAGCACCAGACCTTCAGTGCCAGCACACCATTTCCCCTGTTTGTGCAGACTCCCAGAGCCCAACGAGGATGGTGCCAGCCAAGTTGCTCAGACACGCGAATAAACCTCACCTCGTAGCTTCTAGCTAGACCAGCCCCATTCTTGCTAAAGCACCCCAGGGGAAACCCTAGAAGTTTTGTTGGGAGGAGCAGGGCTGTTAGAGGCTGTAGAAGGTACTACCAGGGGTTGCCTTTCCCAGCTTCTCCCCTGGCAACATCCTCCTCTCTGGAACGTTGCCGGGGCTGTAGGGTCAGCAGGGGTTTGACTGCGGGTGATGATAACTGGAGTTTGGAATAAAAAATATGAGGATGTTACCCTACTGGCTGCTACTTTGAAACAGCAATATAGAAACACCAGAAGATAGATGCAATTAGTAAAAGGTAGATGACTGCTTGTATTTTTGACTAGATCCCACATTAGGGAATAGGAATGGACTTGGTAGGTCTCTCTCAGCCCTATTTTTTCACAGTCACAGTTCAGTATCCCAAGATCCCAGGTAGCTCAGGTCACCTTCTGGGCAGAGACATCCCATAGCTCCAGCCCCTGTGAATGCAGCACAGCACATCTGCCCTGGGCAATGGAGGAGTGAATGGGTCACTTCATGAGGTCCCCTCTATCTGTTCTGCATTTTTGCTTCATAGTCACTGCTGTAAGTACCCTCAAACATCACTAGACAAAGCATAAAACAAAAAAATGCTGTTTCATTGCATCCCTAAAATTAACTTGCATTAAAATATGAACAACTTTCTAGTTGTTCCATGGTTAGAGCAAAGTCCAAAGGGGCCTTGCTATTGATTAAACAACATGGGCTGGAAAATCCCTTTTCTAACTCGTGGGTCTCATCTTGCTGCCACAGCACAACGGCTGAAAACCTGCTCAAGTCAACCTGCAAACAAAATCAGAGGCTGTGACTCCCAGGGCTGTGGCAGAGATAGCTGTGCTTGAAACTTTCTTAAAATAAAAATAAGCATGAAAAAAGGGGCATGGAAGAGTCAGATCTCTCCGAGAATAAAAGCCTCTGGGAAACCATCCACAAGGCTCAGCAAAACACAGAGATTTAAACCTTGTGACTTCCCCTGGAGTTTGCCCTTTTCTTTTATCAATATTAGGTAGTGTAAAA